AGCAAATTGCACATGAACAAATCCATGGGACGTAACAGGAAGAACTCATGAGTGCTGAGATGACTGATATTGCTGTGAAACCTCTCTCAATTTTCTTCGAAAGGTCATAGCAACTGGGAGCTCTTGCCACAGGTGATTAAGGGCCTGACGCATCTGTCATGTAAGGATAGGCTGAGAAACCTAGGATGCTTAGGCTGGAGAAGAGCAGGTTTGCAGGAGGTGATCCTATCAGCGCTTACAAACATATGATGGAGGGCATAATAAAGGTGAAACCAGAATCTTTTCAGTGGTGCCCAGTGACAGGATGAGAAGCAATGGTACAAACTGAAAAACAGAAAATTCCATTTGAATACAAAACACTTTTGCACTGATGGTGGCTGAACACTGGAACAGGTTGCCCAAATCTTTGAAGGCTTGATATCCTTGGAGATATTCAAAACACAACTGGACTCAGTCCTAGGCAACCAGTCCAGGCAACCCTGCTTGAGCAAAGGGGTTGGACTAGATGATCTCCAAAGGTCCTTTTCAGTCTAGATTATTCTGCTTCTGTAATAGCCTCTAGAGTATTCTAGGCAGCAACACTACAAGAGGACATAGTACACTCAGACACACATGAAACTTGAGTCAGACACATGTGGAGAGACAGACACATACACACAAAATAGAAAGGTACAGGAGGACAGGCTGGGCACAGACCAAGTACAATACCTAAGCCACTTTGCTTCATCTCAGAGGATTGCCTGGAGTAGGTGCTGAAGAGGCGATAACCTCCTGATTTGGAAGACTCTGAAAGCACCTGCAACAAAAAAATATTAAAATCATTGCCCTGCCTTAAGGATTCCTAACCAATTTACCCACTGATCTCAAAAAGCCTCTATAATTTGATTAAAGTGTCTTTGAATCACATTTTTCATGAAGGGTAAAGCTCAGCTTGTGATAGTGCATGCTCAATTATTTTTCATTTCAGGTTTGCACTGGTCGTGGAACAGCAGATTTCAGAAGTATGAAGGGATTTGTGTACTCAGCTGCTTGTCTCCCAGGACTCCTGCTAGGATCACTGCAACACATATTTCCTTCTTTAGAATCAGAAAAATATACCCTTTTTAACTTACTATGTACCTTACTATGTACTTACTATGTACAAAGAGCTCCTGAGTCCGAGCACTGCGTACAAAATTATATCATCAATGACACATAGTCAGCTAGCAAACCTCTCAAGCCCTGAAATTCTGTTTTTCACAGGCTCAGAAAATATATACCAAAATGCCTGTTAAATTCCACCAGAATGAGAAGCAATTCCAGAGTACTTTGAAGGTGTCGGCTGCCAGCTGACTATGAAGCTAGACTAAAGTCTTTAAGGAAAGAACTTAAGACTTTTCCTTAAGGACTTTCCTTAAGGAAAGAACTGAGACTAGCAAAAAAAAAAAAAAAGAATAAAAAACCAAAACTCACCAAACAAACACCACCCCAAAACAAACAAAAAAAAAACACCACACAAATCTTTGTTGCTTTAGCAGATCAGTGAATGGGACAATTGCAAGTCCTGTGTCAGATTGAGTACTCTGCAAATAAACCCACTAAATTAGCACTGAAACTCACTAGTTCTGATGCTCATGAGATCACAGATGGGGGACAGGAACAAGAACTGTAGAACTGAACTGTGAGATGCAAAAGCTGGAGTCCAAGGGAAGACAAAGCTGTTATCGTAGTTAAGTAAAGAGGTCGCATGCAATCTTGCAGTTGGTTAATGCCTTTCAACGCGTGATCTAAATGTACTTGTGCCTCTCAAGCATTTACTTACTTGCTCGTCCAGCCGTACTTCCTCACCATTTGCTCTGTCCAGTGTTTCCTCTGCCTTTCCTCAATGAGAAGCAGTTTGATAGGTCAAGCCTTCCAAAAATCCCTATTCAATATCTCCATATCCTTTCATAGAATCAAATCTGACCCTGGTATGCTAAGAGGAATCCCAGGAAACCAATACTAGGCAAGGGACCTTCATGAGAATAACTGAGAAGACCCACTGCGTTATTACCTCCATGGACCCTGTTTTCCGGTTCCTGATCAGGGGGGATCTCCGCTGAATGCCGACTGGCTCGGAGGGCTGTGGAGACCTCTGCCGTGCCTGATCTGGCTCATCAATGCCCTTCTCCTGGGAGAGGTCTTCCAGGCTGCCTTGGTCTGCTTTCTTGTCCTCATTCTGCAGTATGGAAACATTGCCAGCAGATAGACAGCTACAGTTCCACATGACCTGACCAAGCATTGCACAGGGCATTCATTTTAGGCTTGGTTCTCCGAGTCTACCAAGCTCGGTAAGATAAAAGAGAATGGTGGTATCGTATGCCATCAAAGACTGCCTAGAAAATGCCCTGAAAAGCTAGTCAAGGAACATAACCCTTTAATAGTTCTTGGATGAAAGAGAAAGGTCAGAGGAAGATTTGCTGCTGGAGACTAGACTATATCAGAACTTGGCAGGATAGTAAAGCTTGTGAAGGTGCAACTACAATTAGTTAACAACATTCCTTACAGACAGGGCAGCTTATGCCATTCATATTCAAGACATCACACTCACCTCTGATGACGCAGGTCGAAAGCCAAACCCTGTGGGGACATTTCCACCTTCCTCACAACCTTTCACACCAGGGCTAAAATGCAGCTCCACATGAAAACGCTCTTCTGAAGATGGGTCCTGTGAACGCAAGGGAAAGGGAAAAAAACAATCAATCCCACTGTCAGTGCAGGCTATGATCTGAACCTAGGCCACCCTGCCATGCCAGTGCAGCATACATCCCAAGCACATCCTTTTGGAAAGGAAGCGGAAGCAACAAGAAACCAACCACAAAAACTGGCTTTGGGTTTGCGTCTCATCCAAAAGGACAGTCCCTATTACCACACAGCTGAGGCATGCAGACTGTTGTTATTCTGCGGCAACAGCCACCAGAGGACCAAAGCAGAATCAGGCTATAGGTGTGTGTGTATATAAATAAACAAATATTATTTGTTTTATTTTTATGCACTCAGTTAAAACATAGGCCCTTTTGAACCCCCTGCAGCAAAACCGCAACACTTGGGGACAGGGAGAGATTTGGTTCCTTCCCTCCTACGCCATTAGTTTTATAGATCCAGGTTGTTTTAAAATTTAAGTAACTATCTTCAATATTAAAACAATAATAATAACTGCACATTCTTTTTAGGGAGCAAGGGCTTTTATAGTTTCTGTTATTAAGTAAAACCAAAAAAAATATTGGCTCTATTTGGTAACAAACTGGCACTGTTGCTAGCAGATCTACTTAGACTTTTTTTTTTTTTTTTTTTTTTAAGAACGAACATCCCTGAGCAGTATTTCACTTTTACCATTAAAATCCCACATAAACTCTCTAAACACTAAATTCTAATTCTACAGCTTATAGAGCAAAAGCAGCGCTCCTTAGGACCTCCTGCAGCATAGATCCTTAAACTTTATCCAGTAGCTCTACATTGAACCTATTAATGGTCATTACTATCAGTTTCCACATTCTAGCTGTTTCAAAATTACTATTTCCTAAATACATCAGCATATAATTCCTTAAATATATCAACGTATTTTCAAACTAAAAAGCCTTTTTTGAACGTGGACAAATATCTGGACCATTTCTAGAAGCATCCTGAAGCAGCTACCAAATGTAATTTGTTCTAATTTATTTTCAATTTATTTTAATTAATATTATGAAATAGTAAATGGTATTACTTTGGGAAATGTTCTAAAATGGGTAGCGCTAGTTACACCAATTTGGTATTACTGCTCATTGTGGTATTCCGTTTACACATAACAGACAATAACTGGGTCACATCTCCCACCTAAAATAAAAAGCTAGCAGTTTTGTAAGCAGTTTGTACATCTTTATTATAAGTTGAGACAGCTCAGGTCAAACTTCCCAGCTGAGCTCATCTCCTGGGGACTGTGCATCACAGCAGGCAGAATTTTACCCTACAGCTAAATCCCTCACCTTGTTGTTGTCCTCGTAGAGCATGATAACAATCTGGGTCATGTAGTTCAGCTCTGAGATAGCACTCAAATAGTCCATGGCTCTCTTCCACTGCTGGTCTTTGTTCTCCTGATACATACACATAAACAGTCGCATGGAATAAGCAAGAGCAGACACCTTGCAGCATTCAGTGAAATGGGTCTGAGAGGCATTGCCTCTCCACAATAACAACATTGTCAGGACAGAAACATCTCGCTTAACTAGAGCATGAAGAGAAATGACCTTGCAATGACGGCAGGGTGCTTACAGCGAGGAGCAGTTGCATAGAGGGACACTGCAGCTATCCACACTTGCAGATCTGAGCACATCCAGCTGCAAGCCCCCTGTGCCATGCTGACTGGAAGAAAGCATAATCACAGCAGGTTCCTCAGAACAGCCATTCTCCAATTTTGGTCTACAGAGTGGAGTGTTTTAGAGAAATCACAGGAATGCACAAGGGATGAACTGGAATAAAAGGGACTGAGTGAAGCTGTTTACACACAAGGATGAAGTAAATGGCTAAAGAGCCACACAGGACCCATTCTGTGATTCTGTTACTGTGAGGGTGCCAGAGCCCTGGCACAGGCTGCCCACAGGGGTTATGGAGGCTCCTTCTCTGGAGATCTTCAAACCCACCTGGACACCACCCTGTGCTCTGGGTGTCCCTGCTGGAGCAGGGGTTGGACTAGATGATCTCCAGAGGTCCCTTCCAACCTCAACCCTTCTGTGATTCTGTGACCCTTGGGCCACACGAGGCAGTGCAGCCCAGGCCCAACAGCTTCCCACCATTGCTAGAGAATAGCCATAGCCAAAATGCCGTACACACTGCTGGGGAACACCCCAACATCTTGTTGGATGTGAAACAAACCCCAGGGGCACAAACGCAGCCTAATATCCCTGTGCTGACAGCAGAGATTCTTCTGACGCTAGAATGGACAACAGCATCTTATTCAGTAAGCAAGTAATTAAGAGGCAGTTGTATGATCACAGCTTGCAGACAGCGAGCTTACACACACAACAAAAGCCATGCTTGCTAAATAAGTGCTAACTTGCAAGGCATTTCAGAATACCATGTTTAAAAAACAGAAGGCAAACCAAAAGATCTACTGAAGTGCATAAAAAAGAGCTTCTCAGGGCCTGCCATCAATTCCATCAGGAAGCAGGTTCTGAGAGCAGATCTTGTTTGACTGGTGAAGAGCTTGGATTAGAAAAGTCATAGTCCCTTAAAACTGGGCCACCTGTCTCTGTTAGTAAGCACTCGCTCTCTATGCTTTGCAACCCTAGTGCACTACTGAAAGTGAACTGATTTTTTTGGACAAGAGTCACTAAATAACAGGGCCACAGCCTTTAAATAATCAAATGAAAGTAAGAAGAGAGAAATTCCCTCCGTCTCTGCTGCCTCACACTGGTATCTCCCTACATGTAAGCGACCTGGACTCCTCCCAGATCAGCAGGGCAGCTCTTGGAGGTAACATATAAGCAAGGCACAAGGCCTCCATATAAGCAAGGCACATGGTATCAGGAGCAAGGAAGAACTATCCTCCTCCACGCCAGAAAGGCAGTAAGCTGCAGCATGCAAACAGTGCAGAGATGGAGCCTGCCCAGAGGCCACCCATATGCATCATTATCAGGAGAGCTGGCTAGAGGGACAAACTACAGACACACTGTCCATCCTGGAAAGGGCCACTGAAAAGAAAGGAAGGAGGCTTACTCTGGGAGCACTGTTGGGACACTTACATCCAGGAGTCCTCCATAGCGGAAGATACTGAGCAGAGAGTGCACATGGCTCTCACTGGTGAAGTAGAGCCGTGTCCGAACATGGCGACCCGGGGACAAAACTCCTCTTGAGTACCTAAACCAAACCAGCCCCATGTTATTCACAATCTGTCAACGAACTATCACCTATCACACAGGAGCATATCTACATGCTTAACAGCACTAGATTATCACACACCAGTAACTTCAGTAACTATCGAGGAGCAGAACAAACCGAGAGAGCACTAGGCACAGAAGCAGCCAGTTCTGTGATATCCTCACAAAGGCACATGGTGTGACAGAGGACGCCTCACCACACTCACATCTGCTTCTCCTTGCAGGGACAAGATTGAGTACATCACCACCCAGTTACAATGGATTTAAACCTGTGTGTCAGCTTGGCTCCCACTTAGCAGCTTCCTTGTGCCTTCCCACTTCTTTTGCAGCTCTAGGAGCACTAATGCCTTCTTCTGTGTATGTCGCTGTACACGTTGTTTAGTGCCTCCCCCCAGGCCAGTACCGTTTTCTGGCATGGTTCCCCCACACGTCACTTCAAAGCCTGCCCTCCTGCTGCCTCCAGCAGCAGCACGCAACATTATCCTTACAAGGGATGCAGTTTGTTGACAGACTCGTCTTCATGTGTTCTCTGCAGGTCCAACTGTATCTTTTTAATGAGAGGGAGACAAAATCCAATAGCAATTTCCAGTTTCTCCTCCTTATTAATCCCATACTCCTGCAGAAACAAAACAATATATATTCTTTAGCCTTGGTTCTTTGCCACATCTTTAAATAAAATTAGGCTGTTTGCCTGCACCCAGACTTTTGAGAGCCTCTGCATGTTCACAGTGACATAGCAGTACTGACTATAGACTTCCAGGTCTAAGAGCCTCACTAAAATTATACAAGGCCAAAATGGGAAGTGCCATTTAGTACCTTTCTATAATTGTTTCACATATTGAGGAGGATAACGGAGGACAGAAACACTTCCAAGAAGTGTCTAGACAGAGGTGTCAGTAGAGTTCCAACAGCTGCAACACGCAAAATGCCATCAGGGAACATTGTCTCATGACAAACACTTAGATCCAAATCAGGCACATGCATTAGCATAGTGCCTACTATCTGCAAAGATAAAACTTGAAATGGCCAAATTGCCTCTCAGTCAGAAGAAAATGAAAATGCTTAGACCACCACACCCGCCCCTAAGTGCAATTGGACCCTGCTGCTAAGAGCTTATCTCATGCATATGAAACTTTATGGAGTTCTGTCCCTACTTCTGGGACAGAACAATGAATATAGAGATTTATTGCATGTAGCCATCCTAAACTTGGTGAGAATCCAACTTTGCAGGCCAAACTAGTTCTAGTTTGACAAGGGCATTAGATCTGCTAGAACAAGCTCTCACTCCAGAGCAGAAATCTGTATTCTCATATATAATCTCTTATGAAGAAAATCTTGCTATAGTGCACAAATTCAGCTTGAATGTGCCTGGTAAAGCACTACAATGAATGTGGAAAGCTATTGTATTCTTTATTCTGAAGCTGTCAAAATCCTCATCCAGGAAATAGAACATCTTAAGGACAGAGTCACCATAATTCACCTGAACTTGCATCATGAGGACCTGATCCCTGATATCAACACCCTGATCTTCCCTTTTGGAGGAGGCCATAAATAGTCTTGGGTCATACAAACAAGTAGAGTTATCTGAGAAATATCTGCAATGCACTGCCTTGACAGTTAATGTGTATGAGACTATTTTGACTCTCTCCCATCTGTTTTCTCTTGAAAACAGCAACACAGACATTATGGCCCAGTCAGGCAGGACAGGCTGTACCTGGGGTATGATCACATCTGCCAGGGCTTTGGAGAGTTTGAAGAGCTCTGCTGTGCCTTCCAGTTTCAGGGCACAGTTGTGCTGTACATCGTACTTGATGCAGTCATAGATATCAGGGATCTTGCTGATGTCGTAACGCCCATTCTTCATGCGGAAATCTCTCTCCAGCTTACTCCAGCGTTGCAGCATCAGTTCTAAAGTCTCACTATGATACAGCTGCAGGTCTAAACAACAGTGAACACAATTACACTCACATCTGACTGTGCCCTTCCACTGACCCAATGGCTGCTACGACTGGCTCTACCAAAGAAGGTCTCTGACTGCTATGCTGCTCACAGGAATCCCAGCTATGAGAAGTCATGGGACCTATTGCATTGTGTTTTACCCCACAGCCCTAAATTAATTCTGAAATACTTCAGAAAAGTGAAGCTGCTAGATTTTTTGCCAATGTCCACTATAAGATGTATGAATATCTCACAACTGCCTTTTTAAAGATTGCGCTGTTATTAGTACAGTTCTTAAAGGTCAACAAAATTGAAAAACCTACCAATTAAAGCATTGAGTCTCACTCCAGGAAATGCCTGAACAAAGGCAGGTATAACCCTCCAAGCAACATTGATGCCGTCTACATTCATGTTAATCCTCATAATGCGCTTAATTCCTTTATATTATAGTTATCTAGAATGCTATTTGAAAGCAAAATAGGAGCTTCTACATCAATAACATACACTTAATTTCACTCTAGAATTTCTTTACAGAAGACATAGTGCTCACACACCACTAGGATTTATGTATAAGAAAAGCACCCATATAAGGAAGTGATTCTGCTCCAGGCCTTTTGCAGTTTTGATGTTTACCTGCAGATTTGGGGTCTTCCAGACGTTTTTGTATCTGGGAAGTGAGATTCTGGATCAGGGTGAACACCTGGTTACAGACCTCAACTGGGTTCTGGATAAATGTCATGGAGTTGAGCAGAGAAGCACTGCCAGTAGGTGCTAGCTGAGAGAAAATACCAGAACACATCAGTTGGTGTCTTTGCAGACTGGGAGAACAAAGTATCTGCCTGTCTCAGCTGGCTTATCCCAGAACCACTTCCCACCTTCCAGAGAGGCAAGTGAGGGACCTGTTTTGTCCCAGCTGCATGGGAGAAGCAACATTTCTCATCAGCTACTTGGCTGACTCCACCACTCTCTGTGGCATCACTGCCCTCCTGAATATAGTCTCCATTCTGTGCATTGGACCTGCACATCCTTCATCCCTGTAGTTACACACAAGGGTGTACATAAAATGTCATTCAGCTGTGCCCAGTTTATTGCAGGAGCCATTGTTTTGTGGAATGCTCTCTTATTTTCCTGTCACTCCAGCAGTCTATGTTAGCTACTCTTTTCCACACCACCACCACAAAAAACAGATTCCTATAGAGGCCTCATTAAAAATCTACAAAGAACAAGTATCATTTATTACAATTTCTAACTCATATGAGAATATACTGGATAACATTGCAGGAGCCAGTACTTTTACAACAGCTTGGAGCTTTCTTCTAACATAGCCTACATTGATTCTGCACAGTGGAAATCTTCAAAACAAACTTTCAAATGCCAATCAATCAGATTTATTTATAATACCTTAATCAGATTTGTCAAATCAATTTTCTATTAATACATTCATAAAAAAATATACTGGTACTTCTAAAGAGTGAGGAAGGTACCATACTCACTCTTGCAGGGATCAGGAGAATAACACTGAAGATTCCACTAAAGGGCAGGGATTATTACCCTGCAAAAACCTTCCCTTTTCCCACAGTTCTCTTTATATCATATGATTTTGACCAGAACTGACCTCAGACTGACCAAACTACATGCTAGCAGGTGGTTCTGCATCTTAAACCATTGGAGCAATGCTATTTGCATCCTAAACAAAAGGATCCAAGGTCACGCAGGTGCTTTACCTTTTCATAATCCTCTTCACAGAACTGAGCGTCCTTCTGCATGATTTCATGCAGCTGTGCCTTCACTCTGTGTTGACAGCTGCTAAGGGAATCACTGTCGCTATCTAGGAGACCATTCATATTAGCACTTTTCACCATTTGCACCAAAATGGGGGTCAGCTCTCCTTCCAGGGCCAGAAGACCCTAAAATAGCACATAACAATTTCAGGTATGTGCAATGCAAGCAACAAACTTTTATGCAAGCTTCACAGCCAGCCTTCAGGCTTGGCCTTTCACTCGAGTGAAATCCCAACTGCTCTTGAAGGGCAGCTTACAGCAAGAACATCCCGTTAGACATGACTCTGGCATGCTCCTAGAACTACCCTAAATCAAACATCAGGTTTGTCTACAGCAGCCCCAGATTGATTTAGCCATCTTTAAACAACCAATTTAGCTTACTAGAAAACATTAACACAGCAGTAGAGGCTCTTAAGAACAGCTAGCAAGGTCACTAAAGGATTCTCCTTGGCTCAAGCTTTAACTGCAAATAAACCCCTCCTTCTGCTGCTCCCACTACACAGTGGACATAGAATTCTCTTTTTACATCCAAAAGCCAGAGAATAACCCCTCTAGTTGAACTATCAAAGACATTCTTATTGGGTAGGAATTGCCTACTTGGCAATATAAATTATGCTGCAACAAACACCGAAGCAACACTCCATAAATAACTTATTCACCTATCAGATTCCTATCCTGGGCATAATCGCAAGGGTGACATATATAGAGCTACAATAAACTGCTCCATAGCACACTGCCCCACCATCCCACCGCACAAGAGAAATCTCTTAGGTCAGTTCCTTCGTCACTGGAAATCTTTCTTTAGAACCAGCATATTTTAAGCCCTATGTAACAGAACTAGCAGATGCCCAGAAGAGAGGAAGGACCTTTGCAAAAGCTGCTGCTGTCATCTGAACTCGTCCCTCATCAGAAGCATAGATCTTGAGATCATGACGGTAGGTGCTATGCAGTCTAAGCAGGCCACATCCAGGGAAACCAGCATAATCACCTGTAAGAGAAAACACTCATAACGAGTCTTCTGACACCTGCAAAGCTATCAGCAGTCTACTCCAGAACCCCAAACCTTCCCGTAGTATCAAAGCTGTATCACTTTGACAGCCAGCCTTTAGGCTGCTTCAAAAGAGATGGCTCTAGCTAATACATTAATACCAAAACTCAGGAAACTTACGAGAGTTTATTTCTGAAAAGAGTCCAAATCCACCAGGCAAGGTCTGATGCTACCTAAATTCTGCAGGAACCCTCTCCCAACAGGCAGTAACTATTCTGCTAGCTTGAACCCACTTATGAGAATAAGGTTGCAGTTAAACATTATTTCCTTCTACTTGTTCTCTGTGCAAAAGCAGGTGCTGCTGCCATCATATCTGTATTGTAGTCAGTCAGTAGGAGTCTGGTACCAACACAGACCCCCAGTAGAGCTGCAGTTATCTTGGGGCATGGAATACACTTTTGTTTATGACTGTCATGTTAACCACAGAATACCCAACAGCAATGGGAGAAGGCAACTCAGGCAGCTTTGAGTCTGGCCCTCCAAAGACAGAAGAGCAGTGACTAATTTGTTACTGCCTGGGATCCCATGATGAGTTTGCACAGTACCCAGCCATAGTGCATAGGCAGATGGAATAACCGCTACCAGTGCTCAGCTCGATTCCAAGGAACGTGAGGGAGAACAGGCAGAAGTCAACTGTATATCTGGACAAAGCAGGCACATACCAGCTACTATCCAGGAACTGTAATGCAGCATCTCATTGTAAAGTAAGATCCCTCCCTGTGCATGAAGGACTGACTGCCTGATGTAAAAAAAACACAAACAAAAAACCCTCCAAATCCATGGTACAAGTGGCCTTCAGTCCCTCTGAATGTGCTCCACCCTAGCCCTTCTGTAGGCAAGAGTGCAGCACCTCAGACATGGAACAGTGTTCAGGGTTGGCACAGGCAGCACCTCAGGGCCCAGCAGTACCAGCACTGCACTTGAGCAGAGCTCTGCAGACAGGTTCCTTGTTGATCTATAGGCATTCTAGGTGCTTTTCCACAGTCAGTCACATAGTCATGGGAGAGAAAATACAGAGATGTTCTCTCCATTCCCCTGTCTCAAGACAGAATTATCTGTGTTCCAAGACAATTTCTACTGTGCTGTACATCTGACCTAAAGTCTTTGTTAATCGTTATGTAACTTCTGCATTTGGCATCATCAAAAATGTCGTCTTCTTAGATGGCTCCTCTTTTTCTGATACTGGAACACTGAAAGAATGCTATTATGTTTCAAGACGCTCTAATGCTTAACCTCAGCAGCAGACATCTTGCACGCTTAGGGCCTTTTAGGTGCAAAGCCCACTTTTAAATATTTGCCAGTTTTGTTCAAAACAACAGAATGATCCCCAGGTCACACAGGTTGCAAAGAGTCCACAGGAATTCTGAGCATCCCTGTAGGTGCTGGTGACTAGTCAACTCGGCTGGGCATTCTGGTGCAGTCACAGGATGTGGGACGCATTCAAACAGCTTACCTTGGCCACCAGGGTACATACAGCGGAACGCTCGCCCCAGTTCTTCTGCTTGGACCCTTCCTGCTGGTGTCAGTTCTCCACCCCACTTCAACACGAGGAGAAGAGATGGGGAAGACTCTCTGCGAGCTTCTAGGAGGCAAAAGGTACTCATTATGGCAGATCTCAAAAGATGAGCTTTGGGGAGAGGAGGTACACGTGTGGGCAAATCATCAGAGCACTTGCAGGGCATTCTCCATGCTAGCTGGCTCAAAATCCACAGGAACCAAATCTGGCCTTTTCTGTGGCTTCAGCAAGTACCAAAATAAGAGTCTCTACTGTCTGAAGCTATAGGAGCTCCATCTGTATTCACAGGTTGACATTCAGGAAATCAGCAGTACAAACCCCGTGGCACCAACTAGAATGTATTAGTACACTACACTGTGCATCTCTCTAGCCCTTCTTATGGCAGCAGAGATAACACGTGGATCAATAATGCTCTTCTCATTTCCAAAGGTCTGTTTGGATGGGATAGCTGCGTACTCTTGAACAGTAGGCTTTAACAACATGGCAGCAACATAAAGTTTCTTTACCTTCATCTTCACTTGTAGTTTTTGGATGTCCATGAGGCAGATAGGTCAACTGCACTTTACGGTTAATGCCAGAAAAATGTCCATACCTGCCACAAAGCAAAGGGCGGAGGGGAGGGAACAAAATCAAATTAATTCCACTCACCCCTTCCCAGATCTCACAACAATAAAACAGAAACACAGGCACTGACTTCCTCCAGCAACACCACTGCCAAGGGACATAAACTTTAGCCACATAAACATACATCTGTGAGTCACCATACAAAAAAGTGAAAACAAAATTTTAAAAGTCTAATCCTCTCCTCCTCCAACAATTCAGACTCACTTACTTGCCTGCTCTGTTCAGCTGACATTATTGTGTCCAATCACATCCCAGAGGGGCTTTAACCAAGCTTTGATAATTTCTATCTACATTTTTAACAAGCAAATTAATGAAATTACAGTAAAAAATATCTACTAGACATATGAACACAAATATACCTCCCCCTCTAATCAAAAGAAAGAGCAGGATAAGGAATCATGGCAAAAAATCACCTTCTATGCTCCACATAATGAACGCAGATGCTGCCCGAGTGCCACAGTGAACTATGGCTCTCTCGGAAACCCTCCTTCTGTTTCTAACATGCCAAGACCACCATATTATCTTTTATTTTGGCTGTATGAAACTTAAGTGAGACACAAACATCTTTTCATTTTCTCACGGTGCCTTTTGTTGAAATTTTGGCACCAGAACCACCTCACATAAAGCCATATTTGTTCTAAGTTTATCAAAACATATTTATGCAGTCCCCACAGGATTACCATTCCTGCAACAATGGAAGAAAAAAAAAAAAAAAAAAAAAGAAGAAAAAAAAAAAAAAAAGAAAAAAGAGAGAGAGAGAGAAAAGACAAAAGCCATCTGGAACAAGAACTGCCATTCACTTTCATTTTGAAGCCAAGGAGAACAAGTTAGGAGCATGGCACCTTTCATGTATAGCTGCTAAAAGCAGTTGCAGGAGTCTGACCTCTGGGAAACCAGCTGGCCAAGACAACAAAAGCAAGTCTGCTTCTGCATCACTTCTTTTCCTTGCATCTTCCTCAGTATCCCTTGCAGACCGCACAGTCCTGAGATAAACTCGTGTTGT